AATAAATTAAATAATACGAATAGAAATATATTTTGATTCATTTATGTTTATAAACAAATTTATTTATTCAATTCTCTTTTTATTTTTTTTATTTAAAATATTGATAAAGGTAGGACTAATTAAACATAAGATGAAGTATGAAATTTAAAATGTGAAGCCTAAAAAGATTAAGGTCTAGTGACATAATTTTACCATTATCAGCACATGCAAACCAACATGTTTACAAATGTTAAACAAACATGTTGATGAATAAATGAACAAATATGTTCGTGAACATTAAATTAATATATTTGTGAATATATAAACAAATATGTTCGTGAACGCTAAATAAACATGTTAATGAACATTAAACAAACCGAATACAAACACAATATTAAAAATGAACTAAACATTAACACCTTAAAAATAAACGAACATAAACATAATTTTTTTTATTCAAGTCCCGTTTATTTACACCCTATATAAACACGTTTCTCACCACTTGTAATCCTAATGGCCAAGAGCCAAAATATTTGGCCCATTGGGACTTTGCTCACAAAGAGCACAATTGAGTCAAACAAAAGCCCATGTTATGTTTTAAAATCATGTCTAGTGTTATATTTTATTTATTTTTATCATCCGTCATTAAAATATTAACAAAATTGTTGAAGTGCTATTTTTAAAATTTTTTAATGATGATGTGATATTACCTTACAATGACATGTTGTTATTTTTTTCATAACGGGTGACCAAAATAAAACCAAAACGTAACGATAGATATGAATTTTAAACAAAAATAGTTGAGTGATCAAAACGGAATATAGCTAATAGTTGGGATACTAACGTGTAATTTACCCTAAACATGCCCTCATGTTGACTTTAAAAAATGTATACTTTGTGGACACTATTTGCAGAAGACAATCATGAATGCGTATCTTGATTGTGATTCATGACTAGAGGGAGCGTCTTTCTGAAGAGGAACATACCCCACGGCACACCTCCAAAGCACTAAAGAAACCCCACAATCTAACCCTAAAAATGAAGGCATATGCACATGTTAAAAGCCTAGGACCCTGCACATGTTCTGTCTCTTGTTCATATGAAAAAAGCTTTTGATTTTATCATCAAAGAGCATTTACAATGATAAAGCACAAAGATGTTTATCAGCATTTTTTTGGTGTTTTATTCTGGACAAAATTATTATAGGTAGACATGGGTAAAACACACACACAAAAACACAATTTAGATTTGGTCATTGGCTCTCTCTAGTTGACATGCACATGAGACTTAGGGTAATGATTATGCCCTTTGGAATCAAAACTTTTCTATGAAAACCTTGAGCAAGTTAAAAATGTACTTCAAATGTTAAACCTGGTGCACTAGTTAACAGAATCTGAATGATTGTACTGCAAGGTATATAGTCCAAATTAGGTTAAATCTCGATTCGAATTATCATATATTAGAAGTGATTGTATGAATAAATTAGATTTAAGCTTCGGACTAAGAGGAAGAGGGAAAGAGAATTTGATGGACTGAAGATTGGTGTGGTTGGATAAAAAGTAAAGGATTGGGAATACATTTTGGTGGTCTTTAAGGAGGTGGGAGCATGTGATGCAAAGCTCCACATGGGGTAGAAGGAAAGCAGAATGGAAAAGAAGAGGTGGGCTCGAGAGATTGAAGATGCTTAAAACTTGGAAAAGTGGGGGAATATTAATGCACAGTTACAGCTAGTCATTTCTGAAATTTCAGTTTAAAAATAACACTATCATGTGATTTCCCTCAGGGTTCTAATGAGAATGCTCTGTTGGGTTTGCAGTAATTTAAAGCAAACAAGAAAACGAGTTCAAGATTCGTATGTATGTAGTTTATGCTTCATAAAATTTAAGTATCGACACGTGATTTTATGATAGGGATTAATTTATAAATAAAATATTTAAATTATAAGATAATGTAAAATTTTCAAAGGACCATTGCCGTTGTCAACCGTCTCTGAATCGTATCCCGAATCACATACGAATAACAGTGAAAGAGGGATGTGCATTGTTGAACCCTTTTCAAGGTTGGTAAGATGGAGTAATCAGATTAAATAGAAAAAGGAATCTGAAAAGAGTAACAACAAGGTTTACTCAATGTCACTATATTCTTATGATCAAATAAATCCCCTCCCGGATAAAAGGACAAAACTTGCTCTAGTTGCTTGGTCCGCTTTCCAATCTAACGGTCGATTTCCCCCACAAGAAAAGGGTTATGGGTGAGTTAGGTCCAAGAAAAGGAAACTTGGGGTTTGGGTCTTTTCGTGAGCTCTTCTTCTTCTTCTTTAAAAAAAATTTATTTCATTTTCCATTGTGTTTTCCGTGTGAACGAAGGTGTTCGGCAATATGCTTGACTGAAAGCATTGGCCTTGATCCATGACAAGTTTGCTTTAACCAACAGTCTACCGCATCAATCAAAGCCAAATGGGGTCATTTGTTATGACCTAATCCTATATGATAGAATTCCAACTAGAAATCAATACGATTCTTCAAACAAAATAAACCCTTTCATTTGGATGCAAGATCATTGTCAGCCATTTTATTACCAGAAACTGATGGGAAATATTCGGGATAGGGGAATGGAAGTAGTTTATGATACTTACTCATAACCGAATTTATAATAATGTTGATATTGATTTTTTCAGCTAGGGGTACTTGCAATATCTAATACAACATCATTATAATATCTTAAACACGATTATGGAACCTTCCATTGTAGCCTTGCAGTCTATATAACAATGGTTATTTGGTCTGGTAGGATGATCCACTAGAGAAATGTCAAATATTCGAATCCTAGCATTTGCGAATGGAGCAAACTGAGTTAAGAGGGTCACTCTCACCTCTACAGTATTTGATTCGGATTAATCAATAAATAGATCAAATAACGGTGGTTATAAAAAAACAATGGTTATTTGGTTCAAGAAATAGAAACAGAAAATAAAGGAAATTGAGACCATTAATTTGGAAGTTATATATATAATGTATAATTTTGGTTACAGGAAGTTATATTGATATACTTGGATAGTAGTGGTTTATCTACAGAGTTTCAAAATTATTAAAGCAGCTTCTAACGAATCAAGGGTGCAACAACCACCGGCAATTAGCTGGGAGAGTGTGTATACCTTTGAATGACTGTCCACCACAAGGGCCAAGACTTTTAGGATTTGGTTTTCGTTTTCAAGCATTTATTTTTTGGTAACCCATTTTTAGATATCAACATTCCAACCTAAAAAGTCTATAAATGTTCATATCCGTGGGCAAAGTCAGGATCTTTAACACGAACCCTAATATTTACCGTACATAAAAAAGGGAACTTGATCAATGAAAAACTATAAAATCCGTAGGTTAGGTAACACAAAGAGTCTTACAACTCATCCTTGTTAAAATTTACCTCAGTAACTTTGACCATGTAATTGGTGCCTCCAAATATAAATAAAAGTTCATGAAATTTAATGAATTACAATACCGTCATCAATGAAATCAAACCCTTTCTATAGTTTTCCTTGAAAGGATTAGTGGTAATGATTAAGAGGCCTTTAATCTCATCTAATCCCAAAGTGAACACAACACAACAAAAGATATATCATTCCAAAAACACCCAAAAAGAGAAGAATTAATTGGCTTCCATAGAATCGGTAAAAAGAAGGGGACCAAAATAAGTCTGACCAAGTGAAAAATGAGTTGTTATATAGTGAGTATTGAGTAAGAAAGGGCCATGTGAGGGTGGGTGACAACCAGCTGGCAATGTCTGTTTTCTGGGAAATTTCCCCCCATATTTTCTTCAATTTGATGACTTCATGAGTTAGCTTTGGTGTTTTTTTATCGGTGAAGATGAAATATGTACATATTTAGTGTTTAATTTCATACAGTTTATAAGCTACTGGGAAGTAATTTTTGGAACATGGCCTTCTCAAATTAAAACCCTGGGAAAAAGTACCATATTTATACAGTATTTATGTACTCACATGCAAAAATTTAGTAAGAACATTAATGATCGAAAGTTTTTTTTTTCAGAGATCGTAAATGATTCCAAATCACGTGGCTTATGTGCTGTGCCATTCCTTTTTTTTTTCTTCCATATTCTGAGCACAATCATGAAGTTTTCAACCTCATAATACGTGGTTTTAGGAACACTTATCTATCACATATTATTTTATCTTTTTTGGTACATTTGGTTCACGAAATGTAAGATTATTAGTAGGAATAAAAGATTATCAGAGAATATGATTACTGGAAATGTTGTATTTTGTATTTGGTTGGTTTAGCAGGAATATAAGATTACCGTATTTGGTTAAAGGAATAAAAGATTATTAGAATATATATTTGACCAAATCATCCTTATTATATATTTGTTTTTTAACAAATTGAAAAATATTTATATATTTTCTTTCAAAAATTTAAATTCATAAAATTTATAATTTTTTTTTACAAAATTAAAAATATTAAAAAGTTTAATGAAATGGTAAAATTTTATTTTAATCTCTGAATTTGATATAAAATTTTAATTATAGATTTTTTTTAAATCTAAAATAGTTTAAGGATAAATTTGTAATTTAACCTTCGTATACTTTTTATTATTCAATGACAGAATAAGGATATTTTTAAAAGAATTTTTTTAAGGGCATTTTAGTCAAAAATGCCGGTAATCTAATAATACCTAAGGAAAGGGAGGTAATGACATTCCCGGTAATATAAAAAAAAATCCACTATTGGTAATGTAATATTACTGAGAATGACATTCCCGGCTAACCAAACGAAAGAATGTGAATTTTATTCCCATAAAAATCTCACATTCTACCAACCAAACACACCCGTTGAGTTATATATATATATATTTTTTGACTTTTTACTTTTACTTTTGGGTTAGAGATAACAAAAACCCAGAAAAAATGAACAGAGCAACATGGGAAACTGAGATTTGCTGTAAGAAAGGGTAAAAAGGGCAAGAGTGTTTCGGAAGTTCTTTTTACACGACAATTTAGTAAAATGATAGTAGTTGTTGTCACTGCACTTAAACTTACTGCTTTCTATTCTTCTATGGCTATGTCATCCCACGGCATCTAATCCCCCCAACTATCCTTCCCTATTTTACAGGCCCCTTTTTTCTTTTCTTTATTTTTCTTACAGTTCCCAACAACAGCAACCCATTGTCTGGAACACACTCTTCTTTTCTTCCCCTCGCCCCCTTTTGTTCTTGCATCACTTTCTTTGTTCTGAAATTTCTGTATTTTCAGACAACAAGAACAGTATTTTACAAGGAAGAAAAGAAAATAAAGCTTTCATCTTTTTCAAGTCTTACACTTTCTCTTTATTGGGATTTCTTCCTTCCTTCTTTTCTTTCCTTTCTTTAGCTGCTTCCTATGGAAGCTACTGGAGCTTCTGAGGATTGTTGTGTGAAGGTTGCGGTTCATGTAAGGCCGCTTATCGGTGATGAGAAGCTTCAAGGTTGTAAAGATTGTGTTACTGTCATCCAAGGGAAGCCTCAGGTACTGTCATTTTAGAGAATGCGGGTGCTGTTCACTGTTGAGTGCTTTCAAATGGATGATTTGTTGGGACTTTGTTTTGTTTCCGAGTATGGATTTGTTGGTTGATTTTTCGGTATTTGGAGATCTGGATCTTTTGGATGCTTGAATGGTTGACCAATGAGAATTCACTATCTGGTTTTTTATCAGAATTTTTGTCATCATTTACTGTTTCTATTATGTGGATGCCTGTGAATTGAAGTTTTATTTACCATGGAAGCTATGCTGAATTCACTTACTTTATGTGATGGTTCTTGTAGATTGCCATTTCCATTTTAAGTATGTTTTTTGTGGAATCTTAGGTTTAATTAGTTTGTTCTAGATTTTATTTGATCTTAAGGAGAAACCGATTTAGAAAACCGAAAAGAGCTTTCACTTCTTAGTTGGTAAGAACATATTGAATTCTTCGAAGCCTGGATTTTTATAAATTCTAAATTTTCATTTCCTTCTTCTGAATTGATATGTACATTCTTTGTTTGGTTATGAAGTTACATGGTTCTTTTCACTATGCTGCAGGTACAGATTGGGACGCATTCCTTTACGTTTGATCATGTCTATGGGAGCACTGGTTCTCCTTCTTCTTCAATGTTTGAGGAATGCATCGTTCCACTTGTCGACGGCTTGTTCCAAGGATATAATGCTACCGTTCTTGCTTATGGTCAGGTACAGTTGAATCTCCCATGAGACACCGCTAAATATTGAAATTTTCGTTTTCCTTCTGATTGAAGTTCGAAAATTTTGCAGACTGGGTCAGGTAAAACTTATACTATGGGAACAAGCTTGAAAGACGGTTGCCAAACCGGAATAATTCCTCTAGTAATGAATGCTTTGTTCAGCAAGATCGAAAGTCTGAAACATCAAATTGAATTTCAATTGCATGTGTCCTTCATTGAGGTTTGTTAAAGAACCAATCATTTCCGGTTATGCTACTAAAATTGGCAGACTTAATTTTATGAATGCATTTACCATTTGGCATGTTGTTGTACAAGCTATTCCCTTAGTCTGTTGAAAATCAAGTTCATGAATATATCTTCTGGTTGGCACCCGATTTGAGTGTCTCTTCCTACTTTATAGTCCTGACATGCATAATTTCATCTAATTTTGGTATGAAGATTCTGAAAGAAGAAGTGCGAGATTTGCTGGATCCTACTTCGTTGAACAAAGCAGATACTGCAAATGGAAATACCGGGAAAGTAAATGTCCCTGGAAAACCCCTGATACAGATTCGTGAATCATCAAATGGTGTTATTACACTGGCAGGATCTACCGAAGTTGGTGTCAGTACATTAAAAGAAATGGCTGCATACCTAGAACAGGGATCGTTGAGTAGAGCTACGGGGAGCACAAACATGAACAACCAGTCGAGGTTAGTCATTTGTATGCTGACATTTCTGGTATTAGATGACAGTATGACACTAATTATTTGCTATAATGACAATCTTTTTGCTTTCTGATATGTGTTGTATAGTCGCTCTCATGCAATCTTCACCATCACCTTAGAGCAAATGCATAAAGCGAACCCTATTTCTGGAGATGGAAGTCTTAATGACATCATGAGTGAAGGATATCTTTGTGCCAAATTACATTTGGTAGATCTTGCTGGATCGGAGCGTGCAAAAAGAACAGGCTCCGACGGGATGCGTTTTAAAGAAGGTTGGATATCATTTGCATTTTGTTTCATGAAAGCATTCTTCTCCACCTGAACATAATAATTGCCATATTCATCATTTAAACAGGAGTTCATATCAACAAGGGCCTACTTGCACTTGGTAATGTCATCAGTGCTCTTGGTGATGAGAAAAAACGAAAAGAAGGTGTTCATGTTCCATATCGAGATAGTAAACTTACACGGCTTTTGCAGGTATGACTAGTTTAAGAGGTCTGTTGGGAAGATTATAAATTAAAAATCATCCTTTTTCAAAATTTTCAGTATCTTTATTGTCTCTAGATTTGTTGTTTATTAAGTGATAAAAAACAAGACCATTTCTTTCTGGCAGGATTCGCTTGGTGGCAACAGTAGAACTGTCATGATAGGTAATGCCTTTTCTTCTAAGCAATTTAGCTTTCTAAGCTGTTTCATTTTGTAGCTTGATATATTCACATTATAATCCTCGCTTTGCTCGTTATTTGTCGATTTTGAATTTGTTTCGATCATTTCCTTTTGAGCAGCATGCATTAGTCCTGCTGAC